TAGGTGAAATAAATAAGTTTTCAGGGCCCGACAAAAAGTCCGGAGGTCTGATATTATACGTATCTCTGGGGGGAGGTTGTTCCAAAGGGAGGGCGTCACCACAGAGAAGGCTCTCCCCCTGGGGGTCGCCAGCCGACACTGTTTGGCGGACGGCACCCTGAGGAGGCCCCCTCTGTGCAAGCGTACTGGCCGGTGGGAGGCTATTGGTGGCAGAAGGCGGTCTCGTAAATACCCCAGCCCTAAGCCATGGAGCGCTTTAAAGGTGGTCACCAACACCTTGAAGCGCACCCGGAAGACCACCGGGAGCCAGTGCAGCTCGCGCAGGAGAGGTGTCACATGGGAGCGCCCCGTCGCTCCCATAATCCCCCACACGGCTGCATTCTGGACCAGCTGGAGCCTCCGGGTGCACCCCAGGAGGAGCCCCATGTAGAGAGCATTGCAGTAGTCCAGGCGGGAGATGACGAGAGTCTACTTAAAGGGATGATATCATCCCTTTAAGATTGGAACAATGGAAGTGCTTTCATTCTGCATCGCTCCCATAAGTCTCTAGAATCCGGACGGATCATTGTCAATACTGATAGGAAGGTCCTGTAGAAACCAGGTCAACGGTTTTACTTTTACTGAACTTAATAGCCACATTTTTGTTGGCTGAGTCACACCTGGTTTCACATATCAAATTAAGTCACAAACTAATTTTTAAACTCCAGGAGTTGAGTTCATGCAAAATTGTTGTTGTTAGTTGCGAAGTCGTGTCTGACCCATCGTGACCCCATGGACAACGTTCCTCCAGGTCTTCCTGTCCTCCATCATCCTCTGGAGTCCATTTAAGTTCACGCCGACTGCTTCAGGGACTCCATCCAGCCATCTCGTTCTCTGCTGTCTTCTTTTCTTTTGCCCTCAATCGTTCCCAGCATTAGGCTCTTCTCTAGTGAGTTATTCCTTCTCATTAGGTGGCCAAAGTATTTGAATTTCATCTTCAGGATCTGGCCTTCTAAAGAGCAGTCAGGGTTGATCTCCTCTAAGACTGACCGGTTTGATCCCCTTGCAGTCCAAGGGACTCGCAGGAGTCTTCTCCAGCACCAGAGTTCAAAGGCCTCAATTCTTTGGCGCTCAGCCTTCCTTATGGTCCAACTTTCACAGCCATACATTGCAACTGGGAACACCATAGTCTTGACTATACACACTTTTGTTGTGTATTGTTGACATCACTGTTGACATCACTGTTGGCAGGGTGATGTCTCTGCTTTTTTGTATGCTATTTAGATTTGCCATAGCTTTCCTCCCCAGGAGGAAATGTCTTTTAATTTCTTGGCTGCAGACAAAACGTGATCCACTGGAGAAGGAAATGGCAACCCACTCCAGTATCTTTACCATGAAAACCCCATGTACAGTACCATGCAAAATTACTGTGTGGCTTATGTGTTAACATGAAAAATGAGTGGATTCACCATTGCTCCAGTCTCCAAGGTTTCCTCTTGAACTGAGCCCGTACCTCCAAGGGAAGAGGGGTTTGGGGGAAGGGGCTTTGATTATAGAACAGGATTCCATCAAAGGTGCATCTTCCATCTTACGGTGAGCAGAAGCCCTGTTCTCTTCGAAGAAGAGATTGACCTCTAAGAAATTGGGAAGCTGCCAGTTTCGAATAAGCTGACTTGTTTTTTCATTCCGGAGTCTAGAAGGAAATATCTTGAAGCCAATTCTTAGTGATTCTGATAGGAGCCTTATCTTGTTTTTTGTTTGTTTGTTTTATGGATGGCCAATGAGCTCAGAAGTGGGTAAATCTAATGAATCATGGAATAGAAGAATTCTTCCTAGAAATGCTCTCATTTATATCTTTGTGACAGAAACACGAAACAGGCCTCCACTTAATCCTTTCCCTTTTTCTTTCTCAATTTTGTTATCAAGCTCACAGAAGCTCTCCTTACCAGAGTGAAGTTGTTTCACTTTCCCTGCAAATCTGAAAGCGCAGGGGCATCTATGGAGGTTGAGGGCGAGGTGGGGTCAAAGCAGGCAAGATGGCAGCTATGGTGTCACAATCACTTAACGGTGGCAAAAAAAAGATTGTAAAGTGGGGCAAAACTCATTTAACAATGGTCTCGCTTAACAGTGGAAATTTTGGGCTCTATTGTAAGTAAGTCTTACAATAAGTAAGACTTACAAGTAAGTCTTGGGCTTATTGTTGTAAGTCAATGACTACCTGTACTATGTACGGTGCTAATATGGCTTCCAAAGCTGACATACTGCTTATGCTGAAGGAGTGTCTAAAAGTCTGTAGAGATTCTCAGTCATCCAAGTCATGGCTGTCTCATAGGTGCTTTTTCAGGAGGCAACTGGACTTCCTTGGTTTTTCTTTGAAGAACTTTCGCTTCTCATCCAAGAAGCTTCTTCAGCTCTGACAGGATAGTGGGGAATGGAAGGATTTATAGTCCTTGCAGACAGCTGGTCATTTGCATCCATTTAGAGGGTTGTTGAAGCGCTTGGAGGTTTATCTGTGTCTTCAAGGTCACCAGTGGTGCTCCTGGTTCCTGTAGTCCTCTGGAAATTCATTCCTACTCCCACCCCATTCAAAGGGTGTCCATCCCAACTTGGATAGCTAAAAGTCTGTAGAGATTCTCAGTCAGGTATGTCTGTTTCTAGTTCCTTTGATGGATCCCCCAAAGCATCCCCCTTATTTCATGCAGTTGAGATAGGTTTATTGACCAGCCACAGATGGACTTGCCCCTTACAAGATATACTTTTCTCAAAGGAACATACAAAGTGTGTCTGAATGCTGCTCTTATCATCAATCCATACGTCCAAATCACTTTATGCAGTTAGTTCCTCCTATTGTGCTCCTCACTATAGCTATTGTAGGAAAGCTGTGTAAATTTATGGTTGCCAAAAATCGCAGAGGAGTTTGGTAGCACTTTTCAGGCTACCAAATAGCCTGCACTATAGTGGCGCAGTGGTTAGAGTGCATTACTGCAGGCTACTTCTGTTGACTGCCTGCTGCCTGCAATTTGGCAGTTCAAATCTCACCAGGCTCAAGGTTGACTCAGCCTTCCAGCCTTCCGAGGTAGGTAAAATGAGGACCCAGATTGTTTGTGGGGGGGGCAATATGCTGACTCTGTAAAACCACTTAGAGAGGGCTGTAAAGCACTGTGAAGGAATATATAAGTGCTATTGCTATTAAAATGCATAGGTTTTGGTGAACCTCAACTCATTTCCAGAGATGTATGGAGTGAACAAATGAGCTGGAGTTCATGAAAGCTTTTTAATAAACATATGCTTTTTAAATATGTCTTTTAATAAAATGTGGTCGTCTCCAAAGATACCACCACTCTTCTTTTATGTGAAGAATTTTTCTAGGGAGATCTGTACTGGTACTTCTCTAGGGCAGGGATCTCCAACCTTGGCAATTTTTAAGACCTGTGGACTTCAATTCCCAGAATTCTGGGAGTTGAAGTCCACAGAACTTAAAGTTGCCAAGGTTGGAGACCCCTGCTCTACGGCATTAATTTCTTTTTGCCAAATATTAGATGCCACAAAAGCACTTATATATTTTTATTATTAATTTTATCCAGGAACTTCCATTAGATCCATGGCTTCTGTTGGGTGGACCTAAGACCTTCTTCCAGCAGTTCAGTAGTTAACATGGTAACTAAAGGGGAGTCTTCCCAGCTGGCTTTTGAATCACAAGCCGGTTTATCTGGAGGAGGAAAATGTGCAGCTGTGGAATTCTTTATCACTGGATGTTTTGCGTCTGTTTTGTGTAATCCAAGCAGCAATTTAGACTTAAGTCACATGCTTCTAAGCTTGTGTCTGCCCAAGCCCAGTAATAATTTTGACAAGAATTCTATTAAATTAAGCATCGTGGAGCCTGGAAAGTGTTGTTGTGGTTGCTGTTGTTATTCTATATGGTTGTGTTTTTTTTTCTGACTTGGCTTCTAGAGTAGCTTTCCTTAATCTGGGTGTCCTGCAAAAATGTTGCAGTAGATCTCTCCGATTTTGTTAAGTAGCCTGTCCATGTCTGGAAGACACTGGGTTCGGAAGGCTTAATGATAATCTACAAGACCGCATTCTGCCACCAATTGCCTCCCACCGATCGGTACGCTCACACAGAGAGGACCTCCTCAGGGTGTCATCAGCCAAACAATGTAGACTGGCGACCCCAAGGGGGAGGGCCTTCTCTGTGGGGGGCCCCTGCCCTCTGGAATGAATTACCCCCGGACATACAAAGGATCCCCGACCTCCGTGCCTTCCGTCGTGCAATGAAGACCCTGTTATTCCAGCAAGCCGCTCTGATGGGATAAATGATTTTAATTTGGTTTTAATGGGGTTTTAAAATCGGTTTTAAAATGAGAATTTTAAATTCGGCCTATGATTTAATTATTTTAATCTGCTCTTAAATTCTATTTTTGTACATTGTTTTTATTATGGCTGTTCACCGCCCTGAGTCCTTCGAGAAGGGAGAAGGGTGGTATATAAATTAAATAAAATAAATTAAAATAAATAAATAATAAATAATACTGACTCAAGGTTGACTCAGCCTTCCATCCTTCCGAGGTCGGTAAAATGAGGACCCAGATTGTTGGGTGGGGGCAATATGCTGACTCTGTAAACCGCTCAGAGAGTGCTGTAAAGCATTATGAAGCGGTATATAAGTCTAAATGCTTATTGTTATTCAATATTGCAATCCACTGGATTGTGAAACTGCCTTTGAAGACCAGTGAAACTTCAATTTGGGCAAAATGCAGCAGGTTATCTGGTAGATGAGAGCTATCACTGCCATATCACATTAGTGCTAAAATTGCTTTTAGCGCTGGTGTAATGTGGCAGTGATAGCTCTTTTACACGATCCTATGTATCATTCAGCGCTGGACATTGCCTGTAGGGCTCTCTATGACATGTTGAGAGAACATCCACCCATCCAAGTAAGATCCCAGCAGGAGTAACTAAAATATAATGTATTTCCATGTTTCCATCTTTCCATGTGGTGGAACACCTTCACTCCAGCGATCCAGAGGGGCCCCTCTCTGATAATCTTCTGGAGGATTGTGAAAACCCAATTCTTTTGTAGATGGATGAGGAAAAAGGGAATGGACACAAGATGCTGTGTTTTATTAAAGGTGGGCATGGCTTTTATATTTTTAATGGCTTTATGAATTTTTTCAACCTCCAGGAGTCTTTGATAGTGGGTGGTACCTAAATGATTTGAGCGGCTAAAGAAAATCTCTCAACAAAATCTGATATATCCCTTTCCATATTCTGCTTTTTCTCTACTGATCCCAGAGTAGTATAGCAGATGCATTCCAGGGGTGAAATCCAGCAGGTTCTGGAGAACCGGTAGCGGAAATTTTGAGTAGTTTGGAGAACCGGCAAATACCACCTCTGGCTGGCCCCAGAATGGGGTGGGAATGGAGATTTTATTTATTTTATTTATTTATTTATTTAATTTTTATAGTTTTATATTTTGCAATATCCTTCCCCCAGGAGTAGAGAGGGAATGGGGATTTTGCAGTATCCTTCCCCTGGAGTGGAGTGGGAATGGAGATTTTGCAGTATCCTTCCCCTGCCACGCCAACCAAGCCACATCACACCTACCAAGCCATGCCCACCAAACCGGTAGTAAAAAAATGTGGATTTCACCACTGATGCATTCTCATTTCCTTGTTACAATGACAAGCTGGGAACTCGCAAAGCCCTCTCCTTCCTGTCCTAGCTGAAGTGGCCGTCCCCACTCTGGGATCAGCCAGAGGTGATATTTGCCGGTTCTCCAAACTACTCAAAATTTCTGCTACCGATTCTCCAGAACCTGTCAGAACCTGCTGGATTTCACCCCTGACCCAAATGGAAGAAAATGAAACATTCTCATGGAAACTAACATTACAGGTAGTCCTCAACATATGACCACAAATGAACCCAAAATGTAGGTTGCTAAGCGAGACATTTGTTAAGTGCGTTCTGCCCCATTTTTTGACTTTTCTGGCACAGTTATTAAGTGAATCGCTGGAGTTCCTAAATTAGTAACATGTTTGTTAAGTGAATCTGGCTTCTCCATCGACTTTGCTTGTTGTAAGTGGGAACAATGGTCATATGTCACTTTTTTTCAGTGCTGTTGTAACCTCCAACGGTCACCAAACAAACTGTTGTAAGTCAAGGACTCCCTGAATAGAGATGGTGGAGTGGAATTATACAGAAGGCAGATGCACTTTCTTTGGAAAAAGATCAGCTGCTTTTAAGAGTTGCAAGCACATATTTGTTCACATGCTCCAAAGTATCTTTTTGGAGTTGAATCCAAAATGCTATGCAACACTATTCTTTAGGCATTTGATTAAATTCTATAGCTGTGATGGCGAACCTATAGCACGCGTGCCAAACAGCTGGCATGGAGAGACCTCTCTGCGGGCTCTGCGAGCTGTCGTCCAGCTCACGTCCATTGTGCATGCGTGCACGCCTCCTACCGGCCACCTGATTTTCAGGATGCACAGGAGCAGGGAGCATGCGGGAAACACGTGCACATGTGCAGGGGGAGCGCACACAAATGCACAGGCATGGGGGAGAGCACAGGGGAGTGGCATGTGCATTCCAGAAGTGTGGAAACAGGCCCATTTCCAGCCTCCGGGGCCCGGAGGAGGCCATTTTCGCCCTCCCGGAGACTCAAAAAAAGCCTCCGGAGCCTGGGGAGGGCAAAAAATGGGCCTCCTGGAAGTTCCAGAAGTGTGGGAAAGGGGCCGTTTTCAGCCTGCGGAGGTCATTTTCGCCCTCCTGGAGGCTTAAGATAAGCCTCTGGAGCCTGGGGAGGGTGAAAATGCCCACCCCCCTCTATGGTGCAGGTTTATTTATTTATGCAGTTTATATGCCGTCCTATCTCCGAGGACTCAGGGAGGCTCACAACGGTAAAATGCATAATTCCTTATTAAAATGATATAAAATTAAAACCCAGTTTAAAACAGTTTAAAATTCATTAAAAAACCCCCATCAGTCCAGGCTACGGAACAACCAGGTCTTCAACTCGCGGCGGAACGAGCAAAGGTCAGGGGCCATCCGGAGCTCCAACAGAAGTTGGAGGTTGCTAAAATGTTTGAATCCCACCCCTCGCATGCATGCGTGGGGGAGTGGGGGTTGCGTGCACATGCACGGGGTGTGTGCTCGCATGCACAGGGCGCACATTGCATTATGGGTGCCAGCACACGCATGCACTTTCGGCACCCAAAGAGAAAAAGGTTAGCCATCACTGTTCTATAGGATCAAAAGGTGAGCTTTTGCTTTGAACCCAGTTTTCTAAAAGCTTTTTTCTCTGCAGGCCTCAATCACTCCCATATGCTGTACAGTAGCCCCTTCTCTTTTTCTGCTCTTAATATATCATAGTGTGTTTGTACCTTTTCGCCCCCATGATATGTGTTTCCCAGAGGCTAACCTAACACAACCTTGAGCCAAGCCATATAAATGACAGATTGACTTCATAAATAGGTATCATAAATAAGTACCCACATAATAATAGCTGCCCTGGTCAGGAAGAAAGCAAGTAAGAACTCCAGAGACAGAGCTATTGAAGTTATGGCCCATTAATGTTATATATTGTTCTCAGACACAATCATTTTTTTTTTAAAGGAAGGAACATGGATATGTTGCCAACAATCCAAGAACATCAGCAATAGGGCCAAGGGGATTATAAGGTCATCTATTCTAAACCAACCATAGGACACTAAAGGATGTCTTTTTCATGTTGAGTTTGACTCTTGGTATCCATAACTATGACTGTGTAGCTTTCTTACAACAATACAAAACTATATCAATGCCTTCTTTTATTATTTTTCTCCCAACTTCCCAGTCTAGGTTAAAACTCTGAGATTTCCTAGTGGTTATTTATTTATTTATTTATTTGTTTATTTATTTATTTTATTATTTTGATTTATATGCCGCCCTTCTCCGGAGACTAAGGGCGGCTTACAATGCGTTAAGCAATAGCCTTCATACTTTTGTATATTTTATACAAAGTCAGCTTATTGCCCCCACAAACTGGGCCCTCATTTTACCTACCTTAGAAAGGATGGAAGGCTGAGTCAACCTTGAGCCTGGGGAGAATTGAACTCGCAGTAATTGCAGGCAGCTGGAAGCTAAATACTACCTTTAACAGTAGCATTAGTCTGCTGCGCCACTCAGTATCCAGAAACTAACCAGGTCTGCTTTGTATTTTCAAATCATCTATCTGGGCTCTCTAAAACTCTACAAACACTTTAGAAAATCTATTGCCAAATTGCCAGTCCCATGTTCTCCAATGTAATCTTTGATATCTGGGTAGTTTATAGTTTATACCAAGAGCAGAGGTGGCGCAGTGGTTAGAGTGCAGTACTGCAGACTACTTCAGCTGACTGCTAGCTGCAGTTCGAAGTTCAAATCTCACCGGCTCAAGGTTGACTCAGCTTTCCATCCTTCCAAGGTGGGTAAAATGAAGACCCGGATTGTTGGGGGCAATAGGCTGACTTTGTAAACCACTTAGAGAGGGCTGTAAAAACACCATGAAGCGGTATATAAGTGCTATTGCTGTTGCTATTATCTACCTGGGACCAGAAACAGGTCAGAGTCAAAGAGTTCGAGCATGGTTTTATACCGTACACAGATTGACTGAACCCAACTTTTTCAGACTGTGAGTTTTAGTCCCATCTTTACCATGAAAGCCAGGTGGATAACTTTGAGCCAGTCACTTTCTCTCTGTCCAACTCACCTCACAGAGTTGTCGTTGTGGGGAAAATAGGAGGAAGGTGTGTTGGATATGTTTACCACCTGGAGTTATTTGTAAAAAAAAAATAAAGACAGGATACAAGCAAATTAAACAATTAAATAAATATAGTCTGACTTGAAACAGAGTTATCTGGCCAATATGATGCATATAAAGATCTAACCTCCCCCTGCTGAATAATTTTCAACCCATATCTCCAGCATGTTAATCAGATAGTTAATGAAGTCTTGTCTTATTCCCCACTTTAAAATATTTCGGTTAGGTTTGTAAGAAAATCCCTTTTTATAGGAGAAGAGCAGACATAGCTGGGGAGGGGCAGAGTTAAGTGCATCATCAGTTTAGAATCCTTGCATTGTGACAAGCGATTACTATCCAACCACTTGTGAATTTCCTTGGCCCTTATCTTAGGTAATCTAATCTTATCTACCTAATCAAAGATGATTAGCGGACGGGAGGCTAAAACGTATGAAGAACGGTTGCTGGAACTGGGTATGTCTAGTCTTATGAAAAGAAGAACTAGGGGAGACATGATAGCAGTGTTCCAGTATCTCAGGGACTGCCACAAAGAAGAGGGAGTCAAGCTATTCTCCAAAGCCCCTGAAGGCAGGACAAGAAGCAATGGGTGGAAACTAATTAAGGAAAGAAGCAACCTAGAACTAAGGAGGAATTTCCTGACAGTTAGAACTATTCATCAGTGGAACCACTTGCCTCCAGAAGTTGTAAATGCTCCAACACTGGAAGTTTTTAAGAAGATGTTGGACAACCATTTGTCTGAAATTATATAGGGTCTCCTGCTTGGGCAGGGGGTTGGACTAGAAGACCTCCAAGGTCCCTTCCAACTCTGTCTCTGTCTCTGTCTCTGTCTCTGTCTCTGTTCAATTCTATTCTATTCTATTCTATTCTATTCTATTCTATTCTATTCTATTCTATTCTATTCTATTCTATTCATTTCCTATTCTATTCTGTTCTTGTTCTCTTCTTGTTCTCTTCTTGTTCTCTTCTTGTTCTCTTCTGTTCTGTTCTGTTCGTTCTTTTCTTTTCTTCTTTTCTTCTTTTCTTTTCTTCTTTTCTTTTCTTCTTTTCTTTTCTTTTTTTCTTTTCTTCTGTTCTCTTCTCTTCTTTTCTTTTCTTTTTTCTTTTCTTTTCTTCTTTTCTTCTTTTCTTTTCTTTTCTTTTTTCTTTTCTGGCACCAATTTAATGTTGGTTGACCAGATTCTTGTGTATAGGTTTGAATAAATCTTCTATGCTGCACCTTTATGAAAGGTCCAGATTCTTTGTGCTGACATTTTCCTTCTCCTTCAGGATCCCAGTTTGGGCTTTGACGAAAGTGGCTCAAGATGGTTTTCTTCAATGAATTAGATTTTAGCTCCTTGGTGGCTCATTTTA